GTCTGAGGGATTTCGATAAAAATTATAATAAACTTTTACTGATGGCAATTCAAATTGTTTACAGCACCCATTGTTATTAGAGCTAATTATGTACTTACAATAAGCCTTAATGGTTACTTTCTCTTCTATAGTTCCATGGTTAGGTTGTCCAAAGAGACATGGTTGAAGGGTGGGAAAATGCATGGTGGTGGTGTGTTTAATAAAACAGCTCACAAAATCTCCGTGGTTTCCTGGCATCCCGACATTAATACAGAACTAAACTTTGCAGGTCGAATAAATTCTAGTAGGTTAGACTTTGGATCAGTTTTTCTAACATTTGACAGTGTCTTAAGCTTCTAAGTTTCCAAGTACTTTTCTCAATCAAAGACCGAGTAATAATCTTGATATTTACTATTTCCCTCTGATTATGATTGATTTTAGCAACCAAAGAAGAAAGTTCATAAGAGAGAGTATGTATAGATTCCTTTTCTCTCAATAGAGGTTGACTCGGTCTTTTCAAAATCGAAAATCAAGAAGAGAATTTTCTTCTACTGACCTGGGATTGAGGGCGTCATGATAAGTTTAAAAGTAAACCCCAAAAATTAACGCGTTGAATAGCTCAACTTCTGCATTGCATATCTTAGTCAAGGACTTAGTCCCAGTGATTAATTATTAATCTTAAACAATCAACATCGTTTTTTCTCTGGATTATAATCAACTGTGAATTCTTTCGACTAGTCCGGGTTCAGATTCCTTGGGTCAGGTTGAATCGCGTGCTCAAGAGCCAAGAAAAGGAATAACAAAACCTTAACCTTAATTAACCTATATTATCTTGTAAGAGAAACTGTAGTGTAGGTGTGAACTTTCTCTGCAACAAGCCTTTAAAATAGCCTCGCATCATCAAAGAACAAATGGTGACTTAGGAATCTTAAATAAAACCCATTACCGAGTATTTCTTTTGGGAATTGGAGGTTTGGTGATTTCTTGTCCTTAGCAAGAGATGTCAGATATGGGCCATTTGGACTAACATTAGGGAGATTGTAAAGAGGGGACTATGGGTTGGATTCCAACCTCGGAGCCCAGTCACCGTTGTTGACGTGGACATGAAGAATCAGTCTCGAACCAATTGGGCTAGTGATTGGGTTGATGTGTCAATGAAACTTCTGGTAGGCCCATTCTCTTTCCTCATCCATCACAAAACTGCCGTGATTTTCTCAGTGGGACCCCTTTTGTCCTATCACATGAAAAAGTGCAAGCAATCCCAATTGCCTAGACTTCTGTTCGATTACTTGGGAGTAAACTAACGACTTCTTTAAGGATAGAAAGGGGTACATCCACAGGAAAAGTCATTGGAGGGCTACATGTGAAGGGATGAGGGATCTCAACTTGGGGTGAGGAACTTGACTGCTTCATTCACTGACATCCTCACGATTCCATGGACATTTAAAGATTCTAAAGATAAGAAATAAGGTGTAATAGGTACCATAGGAAAAAGAGTAGGCCTTCAAATAGCTCTCAATTAGCGCTCATCAAATCATTTTCCGACTTGAATTTAGTTTCTTCATGAGCAAAACTCATTTTGGATGTCATTTTCTCTATACAAATAATAACAGCAATATGGATAAGCTCTGGGATTGGGATGCCATTGATTACCAGACGCCCTCCGTCCTGCAACAAAGTTGGCTTTCTGGTTTTAGCAGGAACATGGGCCTTCTCGTCAAGCACTTCTTTATTAAGAGTTTAGTCATGTTAGCTTGAAGGACAAAGTATAGACGTTGCAAGAGAAAAATTTTCTCTGGCTGAGCTTGTTTGGATTCTATATGACATGCCAAAGTAGAAAACAGAGAGTTTTTAAGTAATTGAATATCAAACCATTCATTTGGATCAAGTGTAGCTTATATTTTTACATGACACTTTTAACTTCTTCCTATCCTAGTAGTAGATCAAAAATTACATTCAAGAGAAAGAAGAAAACAGTGCCTGAATTAGTTCACCTTATGAAACTTTTGACAAGAAACCTGAAACGCTGAAATATTCTCTTAACGGTGCCTACTCTGCTATATGCTATCTAATACTTTTCGGGGATGCTATCAAGCGCTGGATTGCTACCAGGGCAAGGGGACACAACAATAACACGATCCTTGGGGAGGGCGACAAGCTCACGAGCTACATCTCTGAATTCAAGAACCCCTCCATCTTTGCATTTTGAGAGCAACCGAGCAGCTTCTTGCTTTGTCATCCTCACTTTCACTCTCATAGTTGCCTTGGCACCAAAACCGGTGGCGCCGCTGCTTTTCTGCTTCATATCCTTGTCATCTTTAACTTTGAGCAATGGTTTTGAACTTGAAAAGGAATCACCATAATAAGTCTTCAGCTTGCTTGGTGATCGCTTCTTACTCAACCCATCTCTGTAAATGAAGGTGGACGCACTGGTGGGTTGTACGAGTTCAAAAATTTCACCTGACAAAACTCTCTGGAACCAGGAAGGAAAAAAGGTGAACATCTTTTCTTTTTTGGGTGCGGGAAAAAAAGATGGGTTTTGTTTTGTTACACTTTTTGTAGTGATCATAAAAATGAGTGGTGCGGAAGCAAATAAATGTATGGTGAGTTTATATAGAAGCAGGGCAGGGGGGTTCTAGGCAGGAGAAATATGATTGGTGAGTGAGGAGGGAGTGTCCTTTGGGGCAACGTGTAATTCTCGAGTAGTAAATTTGGCTTAACGAAGAAGAGATGGGTCAGGGCGTCAATTGCACGAAATTGGGATACTGAAACTTCAGTTTAGTCAACTTCGAATTTGGAATTTAGCTTTGAATGTCATATACAGGGTCCCCCAATTCCCCCCTGTGCAGGCCAAACTATGGGCAACAATCATGATGCATTGCTTCTGCATCTGCTTCTGCTCCTGATACTTTTCCCTTTCTTTTCTCTGTCGGTTGTTGGAAGTTCAGGTGAGATTCACAAGAAATTCATGGTCCATGATCATCATTGAAACAACTTCATTCAAGTAAATGCTACAACTTTTGAATGAAGAATGAGAAGTGAGGAACCATATTCTTATTACACTACTGTTTCTTTTACCTTTGTAAACTTTTTTTTCCTTTTCTTTTGATTGAGCTTAGTCCCACAGTATAAATATAAACCAGAAATCAATTGAATGAACTGTACTTCTTTCTTTCTTCAGCGTGATTTAAGGCCAAAAAAGGCAAAAAGGAGAATGCAATTGACAGCTGTAATGCTTTGTACTGTCTTGTAACTTGCATGGAACACATTAGCTCACGAAGAGAATTAGTGAAAAAAAAAATTTAAAAACTAAAATTGGATCATCAAGTCAAGCAGAGACTTGGTGAGGAAAAATGAGTTTCTGAAAAGAAACTGGGCTTTGGCTTAGCTCATTTTGATGTTTACATTGCTACAGAGGCCTGAAAAAGAATAATTCCCGTTGGCTCTGACTCAGTCTTCGTAAATTGACATGCTTTAACTTCACACTGTTTGTTCCAATCTTTCTATTACATGGAAACGCGTGTTCAGGTTTTGAACTCTTTGTGAGTCAATGCCGTTCGTTTAGTTCCAAAACATCGTATCAAATGTTCAATTAACATCCTAATAATGTCCAAATCAATCTACTTTCCCTTTTTGTCCTTTTGGAGGGTTAAAAGGGAAAGAGAAGAAAAAACAAAGGCAAAGGTTTGCATCTATCTGGAATTTATTCATCAATGTCAGAAATTTGACTCAAACCCCTCGAGCACGTCTGGTTTTTTACTGTGCTTCGACCGAGAAGTTGACGTTAAGGATGGATTTCGATGGAGCTGTCATTGTCCACGCTTTCAGTTGGGTTTACTTTTATTCGGAGCTGTCATTTTTTTTAAATCAAACCAAGAGAGGAACTTTTTGGGCTTGGCCTGGACCATTGCAACGTGGACCTTACTGAAATTTCAGTTTACATGGACCCAAACAAGCGCTTCAATTTACTAGGGTACATACCTATTGTGAACTGTAAAGCCGAAAACTTGGTAAGGTTTTCCTTTTTTTTGTGCTTGAAAATTTTCATTTAGTGATTTATTAATTATGATATTAATTTTTTTTGTTTTGATGTTGAAAGTTAAAAATGAAATAGATAATGAATATTTGACTTAATGATTGATATATATTTATTGAGTAAAAAATTAAATTCAAATCTTTTATTTTCTAAAACTAAAAAAGAAATTAATGAATTTGTTGTCGCACGTCATTAATTTAGCTAGCAAGATGCAATACATCAATTTACTGAATGATACTTATAGTAATTAAGATCTAGATTATTAATTCATAATGCTTAATAAGGATTTTAGGAAAAAAAATATAATAAAATAAATTCAAGAGGAGCTAAGTATGATAAAATTTTCTTTTAATTCCACACTCATTTTTGACTTGTATCCAGAAACGAATGTTTCCCATGTCTTCTAAGTTTGTGAATAAAATATTACTAGTAATATAATAATTTGATTACAAGATTATACTGTCAAACTCTTTATTAGTGTTACTTTTTAAACATAATATTTTTAAAAAATTAAATAAATCATTATTATAATAATTGATTAATTCTTGATAATTAAAACATTACTTATCATTTATATCATATAACATAGACATAACATAATCGCATATCATAATAAATAATGGTTTATCATATTGACGTGACATGAAAACATACTTATATATATTTTTATTATTTGTGTTAATGTAACATTGATATAAAAAATGAAATTATATTTTGTAAAAATTTATTAAATTTAAAATAAAAATTAAAAAATTTGATTTAATATAATAAAAATATATAATTTTATTTAAATTTTTAATTAATTCAGAAACCTTTTAACGTATTACGTCTACAATTTTTTTCTGTCAACTTAAGCAACTTATCAGTTTTATAGCATTAAGTAAGAGTTACCAGTATGTTATTGTTCTATTATTATTTACACATTTGTCACGTGGCAACGGTGTCGTTTGGTTGATGACAGAAGACAATATTTATTTTTTCGCACTCTCCCCTGGAACATCGCCGCCTTCTCTTCTAGAAACCGAACTCTCTGAAAGCCATTTTTTTTTTATTCTTATTATTGAAAATCACCATCAAAGTTCTTGAGAAATTCCAAAGCAAAGAAAAACGAAAAGAGAGATGGGCGCAGCACAAGCGATGAAGAGAATCCCTCGCATCAAATTTCCTCAAAGACACCCCAATCCTTCCGGTCTTATTTTCTTCTCTTTACATATCCATGGATTCCTTGATTATTGCCTCTTTGTCTTTTCTTGTATTTATGATTTGTAATGTATTGTTGAATCTCTTTTTCTTTTCCCCATGGACTTTATAGCTTTTACACATACATGCTTAACGAAGCATTGATTTTTTAATCCGTAATCAAATCAAATTGTATTAAATCTGTTTGTTGATCAGGACATTGTAATGCA